TTTGCTTTCAAGTCAAGGTTGCCGACACTTTGTGAACCAAGGGTAAAATTTTCAGTTTACAAACGGTACTACACTTGACTGATGAAACTACCGGAGTCAATCACCAATGAACGCTTAAGCAGTACATTGGAACAAACTAGTCAAGTAGGATATCACAGAATTTCCGTGAGTGGGCGACCTGATGCACACTAGTTTGTGCCTACAAGAAGTGCATGGACTAGACCTAGCTCTACCGAATGCGCGGTGATGAACAGTATGGAGATCATCGGAAGGAATAAGCTGATCGATTTCGGAATACTCATCAAAGTGCTTGTCTACTTCAAGGTCAACCATTGTATCACTGGAGATTCCGCTGCACATTGGGGAGGGGGCGACCGGGAACAGAACATGGAGATACAAGCAATAATAAACCAGTGAGCAAGGTTGAAAGGAACAGAAAACGTTCTCATGGCATAAAATTTGGGCGTCAAACTCTACTGAAGATAGCTTTAGTTGACGCACAGCTTAGAGCACCGGTTGGGATCATACCTATCTATTCCGAGGCAGATGTTTTGTGGAGGAGGGACAATGAAAAGAGTGGGAAGAGCTGGTAGCTGCGTTTGAATGGAAGCACGTATTCTGAATAACGAATTGCACTCAGGTGCTGAACCTCTCGTTTATGATATTCTTCAACTGAGTGTGATGCACCAAGCTGACTCCTGTTACAGTGAGAACCTGGGGACTGCGTCTACTAGATTAGCCTCAAGAAAGGCAAAATAAGTCGTAGGCTGTCGGCAACTTTTCAGCAACCTTACGTGCAATTTGTTGCGCCTGTACAATGTATTACGATACTGGTTCATCTTACCAACTGAAACATGATGCGGCCTTTCGTGAAGCGGACCATCGTAAATGAGAGATTCAGCTTAGATTCAGTTGAGTCTCCCGGTATAGCTGTGTTTGTACGCGGATAAATGTATTTCAAGTGTGGATATTGGTCCGATAGACAGTACAGTTTAAAGTGTGCTGATAGCAAATTGTGGATACAAAGTTCTCCTGAGTCGCTTGACGCATGCCTTCACACACGCCTGTCCACACCATGCCGTTGGTGACAGTGTATTAGTTAGTGCCGTTGAATGGAGCTGGTGAAAGGCTTGTGAAATTCCAATTAAGCCCATCAAATTTATGACTGGGAGAACATAACTAGGATCAGTCGCGCTCACAGCTGCTTTGCTGTCTGCCACACACCCGAGTAGCCTATGTTAACGCGGACCGAATTAAAAGAGGAGTCTTTTAAGGCGATTGCCTTCTAATTTTATGAGCGCGTAAACCTTCGTATGCCTCCAACAGGCGTACTCCTTTTTGCTCCGTAGATGCTGAAGGAGTTGAGAAAAGATAAACCTAAGGTGAACGGTTTCAACGGCAGTCGAGGTAGGTCGAAGCAGAACTTGACATGATCAGTTAGATGTGGCAGTGTTCCGAAACATCACGGTCCTCAAAAATAACAAAATCTGTTGAGTGAACCATTTTCCTCGGCCGCATTATGTTATTCGTTAAACGAGCACCTTCCTTCCAGCCTGTGTGAACTTCTCAATACATGAAACCCGTCTTTCCTTCGGGAACAAGCTCCAAATACAGTGATCAAGAGGAGCAAGTGGAACAACACTTGCGCGGAGTAGACACACTGACATTTTTTCCTATCTCCATAGTCTCGTGGAGAAAGTGAAAATGTGCGTTGAGCTTACTTACAGACATGCAGTCACACTGGCAATGACAGAAAGACCAACTGAACAGACTCGAATGTCATTGAAAGGGAAGTCAGAAAATTCGCAATACTCTTGTCTGAACAGTCCTCCTCGTGTCCTGGCGTGGTTATTCTGGTGACTCGAGGCGGGGACTCGAGTTTTGCTCTTAGTAGACCAAATTGGCAGGGCATATCCCCGACCGTACTGCGGTTTGAACTCCGGACATCTGACAGGCAAGGCGAGTGCTACCACTACTCCACCTGGAGTAGTAGACGCATTTGATTAATCACGGCTGAAAAGAAGATACATCCACGCTATGTGCTCTTGGGCTGCATTAGCACTTAGCATTAGTAAGGACAAATGAGCGATGATCATCCAAGGAGTGCGCGTGTACTACTGATCTAGGTCACTGGTCCATTTCACAATGATGATGCATACGGACGCGTTAGTTTGTTCGGTGGGCCGGGCACCATGGTTGCAAACATATCATCGCTAATCTAGGTGAGTGGAAAATCGTCGAAATGCACTGATTATTTCATCTCGAATGGTGATGAAATGCTTGTAAACAATTCTTCCAGCTCGGTAAACACTTTTACAGCCATCCTTACAACCTGAGCTACCTATAATCTCTTCAACTATATGCAGAGGAAGCAGTCATTTCGGCCATGTTCAGCGATTTTTCCTGGTCAACTGTACCACAGAAAAGCTAATATCTGAGTTTTGCACTCCTTTCTATGGAACTTAGAAAACGAAATATCCTTTACTGCCGATGTACAGTTGTTCACTTTCTAGAATTCACGCTGTTAAGGTACTATACAAGAGAAGAAATTGCTTTCAAACCCACTGATATGCCTCTGTATTTCTAGACAGCAAAAAATTCTCAACCGCAGTTTGGTGCCCTCTATTAATTCGGTCCTGTCTATTTCAGTTTAGACTGGATGTACGACGGATAAGTGAAATATTCGCTTTTGGGAGCAGCATTTGAACAGTCCAACCCAAATAATACGAGCACTGAAAAGCTTATCACATAGTGTTTATCTATTTTGCTGTAACCCATTGTCTAACACAGTTCAGACGGTAGCTACAGACCAATGAAGTTGGAACGGTGGGATAATGGACCACGCCCATGAGTTGTTATTATTGCTGACATTGTTAATAATGTATGCTCTTTCTCCCTCTCGGTTGGAAAAAGGAACCAACATTACATGGCGCAGATAGAAAACGATAATTATGACGCAGCTTGGTAGATGTGAAAAGGGGAATGGAAAAAGATTAGCGTACTGAGAAGCCAGTTTTAAACTAAATTCTATTCAGTAGTGCAAGCTGGTTTCAAATGAAAGACAGAATGTGAGTGAAAGCGAGAAGTCAACACAAAAGCGAATAAACTGTGCTCTCGAGAGCATAGTCTGGTATCGAAGGTTTTACGCTCCTCGGCTTGATGTTGTATTCCGAGAAGTCAGCTGAAATTTTCAACCTCCGGAGCGTTCAAATTAGTGAATTGTGGTGCACACCAATTCCGGCTGCTTTCAACCCAGTGCGGTCACACATCTTTGTCAAGACTGCTGCTGGTACTTCGGTATGCAGATAGATTAATGTATACAGGTGCTGAGTGCTCATTATTTGACTTGCATCGGCCTTGAGCTACATATCCTCGCTTGGAATGACAACGAGCGAACCAGTACTGCGATGAGTGTCAATAATTTGTCCCACTGGCTGATTGTCTTCGTAAGATGACTATGATTAGGGGGTTTGGTGCTGAGTGCTCATTATTTGACTTGCATCGGCCATTAACACGATGAAACGGCGATAGGAATGGCCAAATATCATTATTCTATCAGCCGACGTCTGCTGAAGAAGGGTTGTAAGCAACATCCAGAATATGAACGGTAAGTTGCTGAACATTCGCCTTGCGTATACAGCTTGAGTTTCACCATGAGTGTCACCGACATTTTTACCGTAAATGACCAAGTTCACCGGTTGTCTGCTGCTCAATGACCATTTAACAAAATCGTCATGACATCTAGGCTATCACTTAGCATCATCATGCATTGAATATCTTCAGTCTTAGAAAGTTTTCCACAGCGGTCCTCACCCTATGGTCAGTTCACTCGTTTTAGAGGAACTATACATTGTCTGACACAACAGTTACAATAGACTAAATAGAGCTTTGTTTGTAAACCATGGGCGAAACGTCTTCATTAATTTGAGTGCTAACAGCTAAAAGTCGTCGAGATCATACGCGTCGTACGAGTTGAAGCTAAGTAAAAGAGACAGCGGTTGGGTCTTTTTACACTCCGGGCATTCTTAACATCCGAAAAATCCTGTTCATAAGTCACGGCACCTGGTGTTGGCTCGGAGACCAGCTTTGGGCAATGGTAACATTTAGTTTGTATAAGCAAACAAATTGTTTGCAGAGTAACAAAGAGTAATCACCAGACATTGTCGAGGTGTTACTGGTGAAAGTTCAAGGGTGTAATATCACAGTAAAAAAGTAATGATTCATAGCACCCCATGCAATTCGGTTCACGTGATGATGAGGTTTCGAAGTGATCTTCTTCCAAATGACACCGGACCAATCAGAACGACGGAAGGAAACGACTGAAATAAAAGCATCCAATGAGAGTTAAGAAAAGAAGACCAGACGTGGCATGAATCGCGATCGTTTGATAGATCACTTGAAAGCTAACCTTTTCGAACCAGGTGCGTCGGAGATATGAGATACTCATTAGTAAGTATATGACACAAACAGGAGAGCAAATGCTCTGTTAGCCGCATACTAATGAAGTGTCCTCAAATGGTGAAGAAATTTTCGGGAAATTGCTAGGTTTGCTTACAGGTCCCTTAACGAAGGGAAGTCAGTTATCCAGAAATTCTTTGCTTTATCTCAGTCTTACCGATCTTACCCTTGTTCGTCGGTGACGGATGAGTAAAGGTTACTAACAGTTCTCGCCACTAGGTTTATTTTGTTCATTGAGTCTCCACCGTCCCACCGGAGAACTCAAGATTTGATAAATTTTCGAGGTAAATTTAACCTGTTTGGTACAAAGAGTCGAATCGTATTATTAAGTAAAATAGATCTTCCAATGAATTGTTGCCAGACTCAACACTTGCGAACATAACTCAGTGACAGATCTTACTGAGGCTTTCAGCTAATTGGGAATTCGAGTAGGAAGCTAAGAGACTGGGGAAGTGGGGTTGGAGGCAAAACAAGAGTTGCAGCACACAGGTAGATATTTTGATTTAGTTGTCGCTTGATGGTGTTATCTCTTTAGACAGCAAGTTTGCATTGTAAACCTAGGACGATGGGTAACAGGCTTAGCTGCTGCATAACAGCAGAAGTCACAGTTTCACAGAGTTGACCGAATAAAGCAAACACACAAAGGCAATATTCTCGGCCCAACGCATTACCCATGAGTTTGATGAAAACTATTCGAATGCTTGTCATCGGTTTGATCTTTCTTCGAACTTGCAGACCGAGTTTCAGTCAGCCTTGCGTTCGGCCTGGAAACAAATTTGCGAAATGTAGCCTTTTGCAGATTACCATGGTGTCAACGCGAGACTCAACTGATTCTCTTTTATGGCGTTCTTCCACTGAGTGTGCTGCACTAAAGCTCGATATCTGAGATATCGCAGTGCACTTCGTTGGCACAACATACTACTCACATAGAATTTGTTCATGGCCTTCCCAACCTCATTCTATCATAAGCCTTTACTCGTAAAACTTGCCTGAGAACTGTCTGTGAGTCTTCTACGTGTAAGATTAGTTATTGATCTGCCAACTGCCGATTTTGCAGTCACCAGCAGTCACTAGCGATCTAGATCATGACTGCTGTTCTCCCGGCCGGAATTAGGTCTCCCGAAAATAACAGATGGATTGCAGACGTCCCCTCACTAGTCCTGGCCACATCAACAGTGCATAGTAGTTTAGCGCTGAACGTTTTTTCGCTGTTTGTTTAGCACACTGTTGTTATCCACCAATCAGATCACTGCGCTTATCGACCCTCCATCCTCCTTTAGCTTTTCTCCCCATGTTTGAGAATAAATCATCAGTTTTTACTCAGTCTTTGAGACATTTTGTACTCAAAAATCATAAGGTTCAGCTTTGTTTAGGTGGTGCCTTTTAAGCCATTACGAAACGCGGTGAGAGGGAAACTTTCTGATTTAGGAAGAACCTGGCCACGAGGTTTAGCTATGCTTTACTCAGTGAATTTGTTCATCTGAACAGAATGCCTTTCAATCCATTTTGCAGGATCTGGCCTCTCTGAAGAATAACATGGAACAAAACGAAGCAGAACAGTCCGAGGAAAAAGAGAAGGTCTACGCCGGGAAGCTCCATTTCTCTCTAGATTATGACTTTCAGAAAGGCGAGGTATGTTGCACCGTATGCAGCTGCTAGTGTGCTTAAATATCTTTGGTTTAATTCAACTGCACAGCTAACCGATGCCCAGAGGACCAGTCAGCTGATTCCCTTGACTTATGTGTGTCTTTGAGCCCTGAACAAACTATCTATTAGGGGAGAGACTCTCAGATTCGTCACTAATACACACCCCCTCCGGTGGCACAGTGGATGCCACAATCTGTGGGTGGGGGAGACATCTGGTCAGCTAAATGAAGCGAAGTCGAGAGGTATGAAGACAACTTTCACACAGCCGCACAACTAAGGACCGCGACCAAGAGGGCAAATTTTGAATTTCATTTTCTGACTTGGAACAACATTGAGATACTCGCTCGTTAACACTACTGAGTCAGAGAGTGGCCGATGATAAGCCTTTTCAGCAATGTCAAGGGAAGACTTTGTATGAATTTTTCAACATTTGAACGACGATGTCGTTACTTGCTATTACATTCTAAATCTGAATGGAACGCCCCTGTTTCTCAACACGGATTACATCGGGTCTGTTAATATTGCCTATAAGCTGCGCAAGCTATTCAGTTGGCAAACAGAAATTCGAAACTGTTCTTTTCAGTCCCTCTTTGACTTTTATCAGCTTTGGAATAAACAGTCAACTACTTATAAGCAACCGGGATTCTTGGGAATTTTAGACACCGGTTAACTCTAGAGGTATCAAGATTATTTGGAACAGTGGTTATGGTTTTTTTCCTTTGTCACCCTCTGTCTTGATTTTATCCGCACGCCCCAACCATTCTTCCTTATTTCAATTGCGCTCCGGTCCAGAAAACCAGAAATTTGGTTAGAGAATTTGTTATTTCGTGACGTTAATTAAGATTCACCAGCTTTCACTCATCGTGAGGCATGAGAAAGGGCGCCCTTTGTCAGGAACCTACTTCCTGCTAAACCAGTTTTTGGCAAGGTGATCGTGATCATTGTTTGCACATATCCTTATTGGACACTGGCCTCCCTCTCCATCAAGAGGACGTATAACACAAAACTTCAATCGGAATGTGTTCCTTTTATCAGATATTACATCTGACTGCTATCTCCGCTCCAGTGACCAGTGCCGGAGAAAGACTCGCCAACAGGAGACACAACAGCTTTGTGAAAGTGAAACGGCCCTGTGCTATGTTTTAGGGGCACTGAACTTGATCCAGGGCTGTTTCGCGCTGCATTTTGAAGAGCACTGTCTGACCTCGATCCAAGGTTGTATGATTGGCGTTTAGTTGAGTTTGAGGGTGTCATTAGGTTTCGGGCATTCTGGGATAATCTTGAGGAATCTGACCTTCTTGACATGGCCACCGCTGGCGCTCCGGGCAGCTGTGCTCTGTTGGATATTGCAACTATACACACTGAATCTCCAGATATAATATTCTCATGTCTTCCGGGTTGAGAAGACTATACACAATGCAGTTGGTCGATTCCACGGGACGAAGCAAGGTTGAGTCTGCTTGTAAGCTCGATGACCAGGCCAGCGGCCTGACTCTGTTTGTATGACAGTAAGAGTTTGATTCGACCGTTGGAGTGGTGTGCTCGTCGACCCGCCACTAGAAGACCACACAGTAGTTGAAAATGTGCAGAAGCGTTTGTTGAGCAATCGGAAAAAACAGGGATCAATAGTTGGATAAATTTGTATTCAAAACCAAGCCGGAGTATTAGTGCTACGGTAGTAATGTGTCTCTGACACACTCCTGGGGTTTGTTGGGCCCAGTTAATGTGAATGTCGGCAGTTAGAACCTTATGAAGGTGGAATAGCACCTCAAAACGGTAACAAATAGCTTCCAGTAGTGATGAACTGCTCTTAATTTTCATGTGAAATCTCTTAGCACGTTGTAAGACATGCCCGCGTCTTCATACGAATGGCTCTAAAAACCTCGTATGGATGGAACCATAGATGAATCAGCGTACGACGAACAACAAATATTGTGTAACGACACTCGCATCTCCATAGCTCGACTAGGCTACCCGTACGCTGTTTACTGTGAAAGCTCACAGAGGGGAATGGCCTGCGTGTTGTAGGTGTATGAACCACCATTCTCGTTCGATTTTTAGCTCCTCTCGGCCCATTTTCGTTTCAATGGCCGGATGTGAGAACAAAAGTTGAAACGTTTTGTTGAAAGCAAGGGATATTCATGTAAAACGCATCGATCATTGCAAAACAGCGATACACTGATAACCCGAAACATTGCAAATGTATGAAAATTTCGTACCGTATAAGAGTAATGAGTAAGGTAGTTCCTTCCGGACAAAGATCACCCCTGGGAGGTCTTATTTGTGGCGGGGACGGGAGTACTAAGACGGATGATTAGTCAACTTTGCAGAGAAGAGCATTTCTACGCGTTCTTGGGATTTAAAAAAAATAAAATTAGTCATCGCCCCAATAGTGGCCTTAGCTGGTATCAAACTTCCCATAGTCAGTAGTAGAGTATCATAAACGAGAGATTCAGTTGAGTCTCTCGTGAAAACGAAACTGATTTGCAAATGAGTGTATTTCTCGAAAACAGTCCAATTCGGGTTCAAGTAGAACATAATGTTGACGGAAACTCGGGGACTGCGCCCACCTGATGAGCCCCAAGAAGGGCGAAACCGGTCGTGGGTTGGCGAAGAGTTTTCAGCAACCTTGTGAGTAGTTTCCTTTATGTATCAACTAGGGTTTCTGAACTTTTCTGAAAACGAAGTGAAAACAGAGGTAAGGTGTGCATGAGTTGAATCGTTCGAAGGTGTGAATCGGACCTTCGTCTTTTCAATGGCCAATAGGCGTTGATACCTCTGCAAACAGCATCACTTAAAGCATCGGAAATGAATCTCACTGAAGTTATGTGTACAAGGTAACTACTGTAGGAACAGTTTTACTTTATATTTGTGGGACTCGGTCCCTCCAATCGTTAGGCAGATTCAAACGCTTGGTAATCGGTTCTTTCGCAGTATGTCAGGTGTAAGATAGCTGCAGCTTGTTCACAGTCCATTTGCGTGAGCGATTATTCACTGATGGAAATCAGTAGAAATCAGTAGATTAAGGTGATTGGGGCTGTTGGCTAAAAGCTGTCGGGGGGGAAGGTCACCATTTGGCAACGCAAAACTAAGTGCTGTGGGATCTTTGTGCCCTCCTGGTTGAGATCCTCATGATCCCCATCGCACATGGACATGACGAGCGTACTGTCACTTCCTAGTCAGAACGCCTAGCTAAGGTTTATCTACCGTTCTGTGTTGGACGACCAAATTCCGGAAGGAATGCCCCTGGCGTCTTGTATTGATGTGATGTTTAGCCACGTTTGTCTCGTCGCTGTTCCAAGGACCAGGTGCTTCATTCTTAATCATTTTCCAGAGGGACATAAGGAAGTTTGTTATAAGTCCCGTCTCTTCCATGTTTTACCGAGGCATTCTTCCTCAAGGTCATATATCAGTTAGGTGCTAGTATTAATCAGGGGTATGTTGCTGCAATCGATAATAAAAAGGACGGTTATGATGATGCTGACGACGACTGATGGTGGTGATGGAGATGGTCATAGTGATACCAACTGAGTTTCTGGTAACTATTGATCAAAAGATGTTCTTAATCCGCCTAACGTGTTTGATGGTACTAGGTGATAGTATGGGAAATTCAAGGGATATCACAGCCCAGATACATGGGTCACACTTATACCCATAGGATGCGTCCGTGGTTTTGTTTTTATTTACAGTAAAACTATCGGGAGACGATAGTCGCGGGTAGCCTGAATTACCTTTCAGTACTAACGCAATTTCACAGCTATTGCTATAACTTTGTTGAGGACTAACTGGCTGAGGACAGATTATCCTCCTAATGCAAGTTGGACAGGACGAGAATGTTTTTCCGGGGAAGCTCGTTCGTTGGAAAGAGCTTTTCGAGTAGCTTCCCGATGTACATTTCTAGTCATTTGCCGCCTAAGATGAAGCTAACGGAAGCGACCGGAAATAAGTGCTATTCTCAGGGGGGGGGTCGCTATTGGGAGTTGATTCAGAGGAACAACCGAAACAGAGAACTGGCCTCTCACGAGGGGAACAAAGACTCCAAACTACTTCCTGTTGGAGGCCACTTTAGTCGGCCCCCGAAATGTTCTTTCCAGGAGGGTCAATCAATCGTGGAATATTATGAGCAGCGCTCACTTGCGAGTCTTCCACCTAGGCACGGGGAGATGTATTACCAAGAAGTGAGTCATTGTACAATCAAGTTGAAGTCGTAGAATTCAACAGAAAAGTTGACTGGGCACTTAGGTGTGTTGTAGTGTCACCAAATGTATGTACACTTTCCAGTTGGAGTATCACCCACACTGACGCCAGTGCTCTGAACAGAGAGTTACTCAAAATGCCCATTAGCTGGTTCCTTTAATGACGCTTTTAACCATCGACATGAGAATACTTTTAGTTGGTGGTCTGTACTGGGCGCCAGACGACGATGTGACGCCATAATCCCAGCTACCTGGAGAACAAACTCGACTTAAGGCGCCTAGTACAGATGAAATGAAGTTTGCATCTCGGAGAATGCTCCCTCAGGAGATAACAGTTCCAACTCAAATCTGACAAATGCATTCAAGTTGAGGTAGGATGCTTCCCTTAGAGTCAAACTTATTGAGAGGAAACTGTGTGAGGAACTAACTGCTAAATATGTGTCGATTAAATTCGCTCAATTCACACTTGAGCACATCACCCAGTGATGCATACAAGGTTTTATTATTGAATTGATTATTCCGTTGTTTCGGCGTCCGAGCGGTTTAATCAACTGAAAAATCACATTGGAAACGAGCCATTCTTGTGGCTAAAACTAAATCGCTTATGAAACCAACCTGAGCGAATTTTCCAAACTTTTCGCCAAGCTCGTTTCAGGTTTCCAGACCGTTTTTTCTGCAAACAAGGAGAGGTTTCAAATGACATCTTTTCGTCAGTAATGTGATTAGAGCAAGTACTCATTTGGCGCTGTCGAACTGGACGAACAAGCGTTCGATTGCGCCGTATAATTAAGATACATAGGCCTGTCTCCGTTTTAATGAAGGGGGAAGACTGGAGTTATTTATTATGGGAAACAGAACATAGGCGAAATTGCTGAGTACTGGTGTCAAGTTTCGCAAACTAGTCCCCACACAGCCATTATTCACTATTAGAAAGGCAAGAAACAAAAACGAACAAGTTAAGGCAAAATGCACTCATATCGGACTACGTTTTGGAAAGTTAACTGACGTATGAAGGCTAGCCCATACAACTTTATTGGGTTTTAACATTTGAAAGCACCCTTAAGGGGCGACCCGTTTCCAAAAAACGTGCCTCTGCTACAAAGACCACTGTATCCTAATCTTTGATATAGGAATTATTCCCGATTGGTCTTCGTGGAGTTGGGAATTCGAGGTCAATAAGCACTGGGTTATTCAGAACAGAGCGAAGCCCAGTGGATTCAAGGCGGACAGAATATAATACCATACTGACTAACACTATTCCCCTGTTCTTCAGTTCGGTCTTCGTTCGTTTTATTAAATTTGAAAGTTATTATCCCTTTCAATGTACAAACATCCGGCAAGCATTTCTAACCCCGACATCTCAACTGTCTAAGTCTAGGCTTGCGCACTCTCGTACTTTCTTTTGGTGGCATTGCAGTTATATGTTAAAGAAGTGTTATACATGAACGATTAATTCCTTAATTATATTCACCGCAGTTGGTTCATTTTTTCAACCATGTTTCGAATCTCTACAGGGCATTTTGTACTTGAAACTGCACCACTGCTCACAAAACATTCAATGTCACTGAGGATTTCTAGCAGTCGATGCGGTAGATACCCTGTAACACATCCTTGCAGATGATGGAAACTAACAGTTGAAACCCACTGTTAGATTTTTTATCTTCATCCGTGGGTCATGATTTCTCTATCTTGAGTTTTTTTCCCAGTTGTAGCTGGTTTCAGCATGTAGGGCGTGAGGCTTGGTATGCAACGGGTTTGACGAACAAGCATAGCTAGTCACAAGGTTGCTGAAAACTCATCGACAACGCACGACCGGTTTCGTCCTTCTTGGGGCTCATCGGGTAGGCGCAGTCCCCGAGTTTCCGTCAACCTTATGTTCCACTGGGACCCAAATTCGACTGTTTTCGGGAAATACACTCATTTGCAAATCAATTTGATTTTCACGAGAGACTCAACTGAATCTCTCGTTTATGATATTCTACAACTGAATGCGCTGCACACAGGCCGCCTAATGATTCGGTTGGGACGATATTCGGGATATCGCAGTACGTTTTCGTAAAGGAAACTACTCACAAGGTTGCTGAAAACTCTTCGACAACCGACGACCGGTTTCGCCCTTCTTGGAGCTCATCAAGTAGGCGTAGTTTCCGAGTTTCCTTCAACCTTATGTTCTACTTGAACCCAAAGTGGACTCTCATGAAAACCAAACTGATTTGCAAATTAGTGTATTTTCGAAAGCACGGCTACTTGTGCCGCATTATCTGGTGACAGCACTCGTTTTACTACCGAAATCCGCTCACTTCACGTAAGCATTCCCATTAAACGAGTGCAATTCTTCGAAAGCAATGGCATTCAAGCACACTGCAACACCATACACCGGGCNCCTCCCCCCCCCCCCCCAAAGACGGAGTTTACACCTGGAGTTACCATTTCACCTGATTAAGAAATAACCAGTCAGCTGTCACACTTATTCGGTGAATAGCTGCCATGCCACCCGAAGGAAGCACGACGGATAAGATACTGTCAAGTTGTCCGACCCTAGATTCGAGCAACCGAGATACCCGGCTTGGATTCGATACATCGCTCACCGAGCTATCGAGAGTTCGAAAAGTTAAACTGCAAAGTCTATCAAAACTGACAGTGGTGTATTAGTACTGTTCTCTGACAAACTCAGTGGACTATTCAGAAAACGACCTTTGTCTACTCATGGATGATCGGATAGAAAGTTATAGGTTCTTGAATGCTGCCGTCACAAAGCAGCACGAATGAGTGAGTTACTTTTAGATCTCTGAAAACGACAACCATGAATGGTGGTGTACCGAGCGCTCTCAGACAGTAAGGATGGGTTTGCGACCAGGACTAGACCCAGTCTGGTACGGATAGACCTAGGTTCATGACCGCCAGTCTTTACAGTCTGGTTTTGCCAAAAAATCGGGCTATTATCAAACTAGAACCGCTGTTCCATTTGATAAGAATTTCTATGCACCACTCTTAAATGTGTGTGGCCGCCTCATGCCACATAACGCTTTGTGTCAGGAGGCATGCAACTGCACCATCCACTCAGGGCTAAAGAACGCTGTACGACCCACTTTGAGTTGGGTCTCCGATTTGTTTTCGTCCAAAGCGTAGTTCACTGTAGTTCGTAATTCTGACTGGCTGACCGGTAACATTCTGGGCGTTGTTGTTGGGCTTTCCTTGCAGTTGCGTCCTTCATTCAGTCAGTATTGGGCCGGTGAGATGTTTTCTCCACCATGTAACTGGCACAGACTAACACATGGTCTGAGTCTGCGTAGTTGCTCCGAAATCGGTGATACTATTGGGCACAATAATCACTATGTTGCTGATAGAAGTGCTCAGTTAGTTGAGGTTTGAATAACTCAATGGGATGTGTTTGTGTTAGAAATAGGCATTTTGGAGAAGCACATATTAGATGGTACACTGCTGGATGGAGAGATCAACATTGCCTGTTCGGGAAGTACACATTCAGCCTTTACTTGTTCATCAGTCCTTTAAAGCCACATGTTCAGATTGTGGTAGGGTTGCGGTCACGTGGACTAGCTACATCGGATAAGCAAACGGACGCCGTTTATTTCAAACGAATCGGCCTATCCTGATGTTAACAACAAGACCGAAAGTGAACACGGAGAAACGCCGGAGTAGAATAACTACGGGGTCATGGGGTTTTGCTGTCAAGTGACCTTGAACTGAATATAAGTGGCTATGAGAAGTTGGGGATAGTCGAACGAATGCGAACGAACCAAAAACCGATGTTCCAGTGAGACAAGCACGTCATACACTCGTAGTACGGGCCACGAAATATGCCTCAGTATTGAATGATACGTGGGTAGAGATCCTGTCCATGTTTAAACGGACTTGTTGTTTGCTTGTTTGACTAGTCTGACGAAATAGCTAACCCTGCAATCAGTAGTTTCGTTATTTCTCGCCCATCGGAAAGTAATCTTCGACCGATACAGACACAAATAACCAGTCTCTTGCTCTTTTTCTATGCTTGATGGCTATGGCAGACCTCGCAAGCTTGGTTGTACTTACAGCTGTTTACAGCTGTCAAGCAGATTAACTGGCAAGCAAACTAATTCTCGCCCTCATTTAGCACAACTCTTAAACCAGTCAGAACATGGTGCGCTGCTAATTGAGGAGAGGCTTGATCAGAGTCGGCCCAGATTGTGGGGCCCTCTTTCGGGTCACAGCACACGCTGACATGTCGCAAAAGAATTGAAAAAATGCTCACTAATTTATTTGAATGCAGACTGTGAACAGTGAGTACCACTAGGTCCAAGTCATGCCTTAGGGATGGAAGAGCACGTGTAATCTTGATTTACTCCGGTAGAGGGCAGACAAGTGGCACGATCCGAAAGGTTACACTTTCGAAAAGAACATGTAGTTAGAGTGCTTTGTAAAACAAGGTGACACCTTCTGTCTCTAAGACTGGAAACGTAAACTCATTTCCAGTATTCTATTCAGAGCCTTCCACGTTGTTGAAGAAGGTCAGCTGAGCATTCTCTGATAGTTTACAATGTGTATGCGATACTAATAAGTCCTCCACATATAGAGACCACATCTGTTTCACCAACAGGTAAAGGCATTTCCGTTTTGGAAACGATCACTAATCTGGTTGCGTTTTGAATCGCTATTAAAAAATATTGCACAACGCGTACGTGACCAGTTGGGTTCCATTAACCCGGTGTATTACGCACGTGGTTCTTTGACAATTGGATTCGACACGCAATCATTTTTCCTAATCTGCATTCTGTTTGAAAAAATGAGCCAGCTATTAACTGAGTTGTCAGATTAATCGCACGAAAATGGATTTTGCAAAACACTATGAAAAGAACTGTGTACCGACATTTGTCGTTCGTTAGCGCCTCGCCATTCAAAAGAAAATCTTCTGGTCAGTTACTGTCTTCTGCAAACGTTTTCTCTTTTGGATTCCATAGTCCGTAGTTTGATTCCAATCGAGATCTCATCTTGTAGGTGAAGTCAGTTTATGTCGAAGCGCCTAGAAACGCCGTGCAGCTGTGTCATCCTTATTGGGGATCATCCCCAGTGTGGGTATCTCGCTAATCTCCAGGGTGATCCGAACTGTTGCTAGTAGCTGGAGCCTTAACCCTTCAGTCACGAGCGGCTGATCAATGGACTCACCCTCAAATCATGTATTTCAAGTAATCACTTGCCAGTTCACTTAATTTATCGATCAGTTTCCCAAATCTCGCTCACCGACAGTATTTGAGCGTTTAGAAAAGTAAGTAACGCATCAGGATTTCGGAGACAGCAAAACGCCTCTTAACAGTGAAAATGAGGCCAAATCTCACATCACCCAAATGAGCAGTGGTTAAACTGTAGGTACGACATGCGAAAGATATAGGTACCCTATAGGGTGGCAGGTAACAAACGTCATCAAGCATAAGCAACCTAAAGGGAGTAACATAACGTCAGTGATTTTTCTCTAGTCTCATTGATTTGAATCGTTTCGCATTGAAAATTCTGGCAGTGGAAGTAATCACGCCAGTTTCAACTTATCAACTGAATGAGCAGGTGTCAAGACACCGTGACCTACTTTTTCCAAGAAGATAAGTAGAAAAACCAGTGATCCAAAGAACCCAGAAACAAATCGAGCTCAGTACATTTGGCATGCCAACAACAAAGTGTTTTTGCTTGTTAAATCTTTGAAAACTAACACTGACTGGTTTCAGTTGAGTGTCGAATACAAATGGTGATCTTCAGTGGTAGAATGCTGGTCTGCTCCACGGTCTTTAACAAACGAAAAATTATTTGCAGTGTTGCCCATGGATATTCGTGCCGGATGTTCAGTCGTTTTGAAAGTCGTCTGTGTTTTTTGAACGTGGAAAAAGGCAGTCTTACTTTCAAAAGTACTGTCAACTCTTAATTAGAAAGTTCACAACCGAATGTTTTTGTCTCCCCATGCACATAACATGCAGTCGTAAGTGTTCAGCTCAGACAATCAGTGATGATCTGAATGAGTAAAATCGTCTGTCCAAAAGACAGCGACCTCGAAAACAGTAAAAATGAGGTCGATGAGACCTCTTCGACACCTCGTGGTGTAGGCACTGTCTCCCATTCTCCGTCAACATTAAGTCTGACTTGAATTAAAACTGGACAGAATTCGATGGATAATATCGACTGCGCACGAATTTATTTTGGATTAGAGATTGAACTGAATGCCAGTTAAACCTCTTGTTCATGACGGTCTCCTTCAATTGAGTATCTTGCACCACGATGCTTCGTTTTTCAGTTGGTACTATAGGTGAGATAGGGCACTGTATTAGCTAGACCTAACACGCTACTCTGTCCAACTACCCACAACCGACTTTACCGTTCCTGGAGGTTGACCACGTACATATAATCGAGTTCCCTCTAACCCTATGTGATACTTGAGCACCAAACTGTCCCCCAATGGCGATATATATAACAACTTTCTAATAACTCTTGTTGGCGAGAGACTCAACCGGATCGCTCGTTCATGATATTTTCCAGTAATATCCCTCGCTAGCTCCAAAAGAACTAACAAATAAGTGTATTTCGTCAGTTTTGTAAAAGGATATAAATTTGACGGCTACATGGGGACTCTAGTTACCTGATGAGCCCCAAGAGAGGAGAAAAGCAATCTTGGACTGCCGAAGGTTTTTCAGCAACCTTATGAGTAGTGTTACTTCACGAATATTTAGTGCGCCATCTTAGATATCGTATCAACTGAAAAACGGGGCAGCCTCTGTGCAGTTGAAGAATATCGTAAAAGAGAAATTCATTTGGGTTTCTCGCTAAAAACCAGCAAAATTTTCAAATATACCTTTTACCAGATCCAAAAATATCTCAGTTTTCGCTTCTACTTTTGTGGAGCGAGTTGTGCATTTGAATCAGAAATGGAATAAATTGGCAGGGCGCTACGGCCGCCATTTTTAACATTTATGGACTTTATCATTTCCCTTTATGCATGTCGTCAAATCTCACCAGCACTAATGGGAATTTTAGGCGTAGCTCGTGGTGTTAGTACCCGCCCAACTGCGCACTGATAATATCACCTTAAACGCCTTCGCAAAGTCATCGCCAGTCTCGGCGGATACATAAAAGACCACCTGATCAACCACCAAAAAGAGCACCGAAGATTCGCTCAGGCGAACTTACTGACTGGATGGTCGGTAGTTCGAATCTAACCTCGGCATCTCGAGTGCTCCTGTCTATACTTGAGCAATCTGAAAGTCCTCGTGCCTCCTTTGGGTGACATGGCGGCTAGGTCTCGAAGGATTATCACAGCTGTTATTAAATATCCTGTAGCTACTAATATTCCAAAAAATTGCCACCTCGCATCCTGGCTGGGAATCTATTCGCTGAATTCATGCTAATGTTTCAGCATAGAAAACTGTGTTCTTTCTCGAATATCTCGTTGTTGTTGGAACGCTGCTTGCCACGCCATCTGCTTACTTGAAATACATTTTTTCTATTTGTTTGACTCATTCCACATTCTACACCCCCCCAGCTAACCGTCGGCGTCATCGAAGCAGTGGACTTGCCAGCTATGGATATGTGCGGAACCTCCGACCCGTACGTGAAATTATACCTACTGCCAGATAAAAAGCGCAAATTTGAGACCAAAGTTCATCGGAAGATACTCAATCCTGTGTTCAATGAAACTTTTGTTTTCAAGGTCAGTGATATCGGATGCACGGGTATCCGGCTCTGTCTAACTTTTTACACAGTATTTTCGCCTTGAAGCGTTCGGTCGAATTGTACTAAGACTGGAATGATGAAATGGTGCTGTTCTCTATCTAAAATGCACCGGAGGAATCCACACTTCTAGGATTCTCCTCAAAAGCACTGGGGATGTTCCGACCCCATTGCGATTTCACCATTGTGCCAAACCGGATTGTGAAACCAGTCTGTAAACCGCTGCCACAGAAGAAGCCGCGTTGCGTTCAGGAGTTATTTTTTCCGAAAAAAGAACCAGGTTTCAAAGTATCTCATGACTGAAGTTCCATTCAAAAGGTTAACCCGAGTGACGAAAGACTCTGATTCTGAGTGACCTTGAACGCTGCATGTTGCAAGTTCCAAAGACCGTTCACGCATATCGTATCCTATGCGTGCATGCATGCATATCGTATCGTGTCTTTGTTTGGTTCAATCGGTATGCAGCATGTAGATGATATATGGACGAGATCAATCATCTGCCGCACTAGGTTCCTTATCCCTTTCGATCTCAACTAGAATCAGTGGATATCAAGTTGCATGCGAGACTGATCGTTTCTGACTTGAACTGGCCAAGAGAGCGCCAAAACGGATTTGCAGCACAACAATGGAATATTTCGTACATCCCAGCTACCATCACAGCGTATCCACCCCTCTGTTAGCACTGAACATCACCCGGAGCCATAATTATTTGGACAGTGAAACTCTCAAGCATTCAGTAAGGTAGCCATAAGCTTGTGAGACACCTGTGAGTTTATGGATATTCACACTGATGTGGTTTCGTGTTACGGTGGCCTTGAAACGTACCAGACATCATAGGTTTGTCGACGTTTTCGCATTTTCTTGTTTCTGGAATTTTACTCAGAGGCGAAGTTTAAAGTGAAACTTACCTGTAGGTTATGATAGGAAACAACTCATTCAAATAAAGCAGCATACAATAGTTAGACTGTCCAAATTAGCTGGTAACAAGGTAAGAACAGTCGGGCTATTGTCGGATTACCAGCCATTTTATCGAACTGGTAACTGGTCCTCATGGTTGATCTGATCAATACCGAGTAATGGGCTAGGAATTTTAGGGGATGTTCACAGTAATGTCCATGAAGCCCATCCGATCCCATGTATACGCACAATGAGGTACCAAGTTGGCAACAGGCTCATGACACCGCGTGGAAAAGGACCACACAACGTTTCTCGAGCCTGTGTTCCAGATCACAGTGTGCTCCGAAACGCTTCGTCTATAGACCAGTCACTACGTAAAATATTCGATTGTGATTGGCCAGTCCGCTGCACCAGATACGTTCCCCTCATGTGATTGGATAGTTTTCCCATCGATTTTGTCGGGCATCTATACCAGAGCCCCTGTGTCAGCTATGCAACGCGGGTCGCTGGTTCGCTTTGGTACTGCTCTAATTGCACTGCAGTCAGCGGCAGAAAACACCGCAACAGTGAACCGAAATATATCTTCAATGAAACCCTATGAGCGCTTTGCAAGATTACCACCCACATATTTTTGAAAGCGAGTTCAGTCAGTCATAGCTAGACCCGGCAACCTCTGAGTTGACCAATAAATTTGAAAACAAGTGAAAACTATTATCATCCCCTTAGAAGCTCTGTTTTTGAAATGGCTGTACCATGAAGTAATGTATAGGAAATGCCACAAACCGTATCTCACCAGAACTACCGGCCATTTTTAACAATTTCTCAGTGTGTCCAGGCCCTAGGGAAGAAGAGCCGACGGAGGAGGCCATGTTTACCCAACCCGTTGAAGTGGTCCCTTTGTAATACTACTCGGTCTTTATTAAGGGCTCCCACAAATATTTGGAAAGATGGATGGAGGTGTGGAACATAGTTGAATTTCTACTGCTCGTGAAGCGCGGAATCTGCAGCAGGACACCGGGTTTATGGTCCACTTTAAGTGGTTACTTTTCTAAGCGATGAGACGCTTAAGGATAAACCATCTGGATTTCCATGAGTAGTCACTTCGTCTAATGAAGCCAGCCACTCAGTAGGACAAGCTTCACAACTTTCTGATGGTCATCTTTCTTGAGGTAATGTCCTCATCTGAAAGGCATTCACATCCGAAAGAAAAATCAATAAAGATATGGTCGATTTCCTAATAGCACACGTCTTTTCTACCAGTGAACAGAAGAAGGTCTTCGCTATGGAGTTCTTCGCTAGAAAATGCCAACTGACCGGTTGCAGACTATTGGACAGGGAAGCAAACCTCTCATTTGCATCTTATTCACAAAAACTGGACATCCATCTTCTCCTGAACGCGTCTTCTTGAACTTTCCTGGATATTCATTGACTCCAATCATTCATTGCTCAAATCCAAGCAAATGCTACAAAGCGACTCCACAAATTCCGCAACAGATCTCCCCTTTTAAAGAGACGCAAAGCGAAATTCAAAGAACAACACATACTACTCACATGCCTCCCATCAGTAGTATCACCGTTACACCGGTATTCGTTGTGTGTTCGGTCAAACAACCCTCCTTTGGGCTAACTTGAACTGTTTGCCGCGGGACCACGTGTCCGCTAACCGACAACAGTCTGACACTGGGACCACTAACCGCTATTCGGATTAGATAAATCAACGGCTGCTCAAATAAAACATTGAATAAAGTGGTAGCGATCTGACCATTATCATCACCACATTTTTGTTCAATGTATGCAGTAGGATCGGCGTATCATCACTACCCTATAGTTAAATGAGGTTGAAACTGCGGGTTTTTCTCTATTTGTCGGCGTGCCTGACTAACCGTTTTGTGCACTCTTATGCGTTGTATTTGTCAAGGATGTCGGAACTCGTGTTCCAGACAAGGGTATTCATTCCTGTAATTCAGTTGTGTTTTTTTCTCACGATACGGTCGCAACAAAGGCGTACTTTGAAGCTACGCGTGTGAAAGGAGGGAGAAAGCGCCTATTTCATACTACAGCAGTAGGTTTAGTGGGCGGACTCAGTTTTGAGTCGGTGCACAGACAAAGGCTATAACAAAACTGTTCTCTCACCATGTCATCCGGATTATAATTGAAGGGAAAAAACTGGGATATGAATGATAACGTCCTTTCGATTTGGATAGCGTTATTCCTGAGAGCGTCGCGTGCGTGTCCTCCTATACGACTGTCGGGTGCGTGTTAGATGTAGGGAGAGGGCTAGAAGATAAACACAGACTGACACAGTGAAAACCTAAAGAATTTCGATCTGTGAGCAGTTCGTTTCCGATCGCTCAACATTGTTGGATACATTGTTTGGATAACATTGTTTGGATACTAAAGGGCAAAATTCACATAATGTCACATACAGCCTTGAGAAATCATGTGACATTTTAATGCACAGCCATAAACTATTCAGCCAGATCTCACAAAGTGCAAAGTAGTCAATTTCGGGGAATTCGTCGGCCATTCGCAAAGATGCTGACTTGAATTCTCCTATAATTCTATAAGGTGTCATCTACTCTCTAATCAGTGTGAAACAAGAGTACTGAACTCTGTGGCTTTCTTTTTTTTCTAAAAAAAGTGCCTTTATCCTACTCAGAAGCTTCTCTACCTTTCCTTTATAAGTTAAAATTCAAGCGATCCTCCGGGATAGCTCGGACTTAGGTAGGTTCCCTCTAGTAATTTCCTCCTCAGAGAGGAGACAGAAGTTTACACCAATTCGCGTCTAAATCCCCGTTAGGTGTCCCTGACAATGGTCTTCTTTGGATTATTACTGTGTATGCTTCCTTCAACGGACCAGGATCAATAGATCCCACTGAGAGATAAGCTGAGAACACGAGACTTTAAAAACCTTTTCTTTTATTGGCCCCTTAACACCGCATACGAGTTCAGTCAGCTTTCGCTAAAAATGAATTTACTGAATTTACATGAGTTTCAGAGCTAGGAATTGTCAGATGTATGTTCTAGACCATGGGATCTTGTCCTGCCAGCGTTATTCAAATTTTACGTGCTACGTCTCCAGTTAATCCGTACCTCTTTTCAAGGCATTACTCTCTGTTTGGCCAATACGCTATCTCATATGGGTTAAACCTGTGTCCACCTGTTGTGTCGTGGGTGGCCGTCTATTGGTTAAGCCCGAACTGAGCCTGCCGGACCGCGCGATAAGAGAACCCGGGACACGGCTGTATTGTCAGGACAAACATACAGAGCCCCTGTGTAAATGCATGGGATGACTAAATGGCATAATATGACCGTTCACTTGTTCGCTCTGTACAGCCAATGGCGACGTTCCTGTTGCGAGCGGCTTCACACCCACTCCGCGTTCATATACTGCTAAGCTGTGTATGGTAGGCTCCGCCGACGCAAGCTCCAGAACACTGGGATCGATGGTGACCTTGGGAACGCACCTTTCTCTGCACATGTACTTTTCCATGTCTGGACGGCTCCCGAACGCGTTGCCAGCGCGTTCCCACGGCGGCGAAAATTTTTCGTCCCGACTAACGGAAAACTGCTCGCCATCAACGTGGTGACGTCTGCAGTCATTAGCATAAACATGAAGTGGTGTCACTTTGTCGAAATCTTCAACCTCTCTTTTATGGATCAACTCTGCTTTCATCGAAGATTCATCGAATAATAAGCCAGTTCTGATGAATCAAAGGCTGAATGCCACCAGCCGCTCTGTTTCCCTTGAAGAGACAGATCACAGACTGATAAGGCCCGCTACTCTCGGGACAGTAGACCAATTTCGGCCGCCTAACTTCACGCCTTACGTGCCTTTCCTTAAATTCTGGTATGTCGTGTGGTTATATGAGTGTTTCGATCAGTGCTTATGAGAATGCGATAAAGACTCGAGAAGTCATTTGCTAACTTATCTTGTTGGGCATATCACTCCGTCCCGACAGCTTAGTATGGCTGAAATAGTCTTCCTCATTTGGGAAAACAGTCGTGGCGGTGCTTCACGAAAATCCTATTGAGTAACTTCGTTCTTCCGATGTGTCGCACTGTTTCTTCATCTCATAGGTATCGAGGACAAAGAGGAATTTGAAAGAATAATTTAAATGAGGTTATTTGCATTGGCCTTTCCGTAGAGTCTATGTTTCTTGATGTGGATGAGATGTATTTGATTCACCTTCGTTACTTCTGAACTGCCTTTCTCTGCTTCTTAGGGAAACTTATCTGTCCACCAAGATACCTTCAAGATCAGAACGAAAGAAGCAATCCTCATTGTGTACTCATTTGCAAACTAATTTGGTTTTTCGAGAGACTCACCTGGAACCCAGCTGAATCTCTTGGTTTTGATGTTTCCAGGAAACTAAATGTGCTTCACCAGGCCGCCTCATGTTTAAGTCGCTACGATATTCGAGATATCACGATACATATATATTTTGTAATGCACTACTCATAAGGTTGCTGAAAACGCCTCGACAACCGAGAGATTGAGTTGGTTTCCAGGCGAGTCTCTCGGAAGACCAAATTAGTTTGCAAATGAGTGCATATTCGCTCATTTCGTACAATGTGATTCCAAGCAGAACATAAGGTTGACGGAAACTCGGGGACTGCGCCTACCTGATGAGCCCCAAGAAGGGCAAAACCGGCCGTGGGCTGTCGAGGCGTTTTCAGCAACCTTATGAGTAGTGCATTGCAATCCTGAATGCTTTTTTCTAAAATTGGCCGGTTGATCGCTTGTGGTCCATTAACTGACTGTCACACTACGATCTTGACCAGTCGCCGTTCTTTGGAGAGATGAAGTCACTTGCAATGAGACCAATGGTCAGAACTTCATGCCGTTCTGCCGCGGAAGGCTACGACCATTTCTTCTCGAGGCTTCCCCTGTGACAAGTGATAAAAACACCTTTCAATGAACGAAATCTCACATGCGGCTTAAGAGCAATGCATAAAATTTAAAGCGGTATGGTGGAGTGAAATAATAACTCTTTGTAACGGAGATTTCGCCCTGTAAGTGGAGCAAACCCAGGCTGAAAAACCGAGAAGTGCTGTTGAAAATCCTCAAATCTCCTCACGCTCCCAGAAGACCATAAGTAGCTCATCCGATGAATGAAACCTCCGTCTGAGAAGTCACCACTCGAGGGGCCAGTCATCGCCTCTGACAACGTGATGTGGATTCCGTGATGGTTGAGGTTTCGAAACCTGAAACAGCTGCCCTTGGCTTTGAATCGTAGATTAGTTTCACTTACAGCAGAAAATCCCCGCTAAAGTGTCCAACGTCTCCTCATACTACTAACAGTAACTCTTTGTAATTTAGATGAACACATGTTCGTATTCAAACTTTAAAAAACAACACCATAGAATTTTAAGGAGATTTTGAAGCGAACGTGATTGAACCTTCCCCATTTTGCGTAATCTTGTCCCTGGGGATTGATTTGAACATGTTCTTTTTGAAAGACTAAACTGATTTCTACCGGACCATTACTTACTGTTCTGGACTAACTCAGTCCACCATCTTTCCAAATAACATCAAGTTACATTCTAGTTGTCACTGTTCTTTCCCACGTTAGATCTTTGCTCTAGAACTATTGTGACATATTCTGTCTTGTAAACGGTAAAAGCGCATTTTCGATTTCCACCACTCCCTCTAGTTTGTACGTGCTGTCTGCTTCAAGTGTATAACTGCAAACTGTTTCTGCGACGAGCACAGTAGGGAATTTCGGAAGTTTTCCGGTATTTCGCTACTGGATGCGAAAGGAGGGAGCAAAAAGGTTGAGAAAATGCCGCACGTGCTGTCATATAATTGGATTTTAGAGGAATCTCGTCCGATGCCAGAGAATTACTCGACCGTGAAGTCTCAGCATGTGTTTATTTCGCTTGAGTCTCAGAACATGTGTCTGTCACGTGATCGGTCTTCCTACGGAATCAAAAAATCAGGCCATCTATTGTTGCAAACAGTAGTTAAGGATTAAACAAATGGTTCATTGGCGCTCGTGTTGCTCTTGGTCTTGAACAGAACGGCTGAAGGTTCTGGTGATACCAGCTCAATCTGTGGGAAGGGGAAGAGGTCAAAGAGTTGAACTCCAGGTCTTTGGAGCTCACGCCTAGGACATTTGGTAATTTTTCAATAGCCATTTGACGAATGAACAAAACCTACTCTGAGAACTTGCGCTAGAGATAGTGTTTGTGTCCCCGGGGTATTTACATCCAGTGAAACGACTGACATAAAAACATAGGGTTGAAAGGGAACACCTAAGGAACTGGATGGATTCTGACGTTTTTTATTCAGGGAGTGTAAACAAGTAAACGTAAAAAGCACTATTGTCTGCGTGTCTTTCTTCCGCCCAGTAGTAAGGATCGTAACTATCGAGATGATGGTCAATTTTTAGACAAAACTATTTTCATCAGAAGGGTGGGTGGATTTACATCGAACCTCACTTGCTAAAAAACATTGACTGACCCCTGCATAGAAACTTTGCATGCAGCTGCAACGGACACAATTCAACATGGGAACACGGCTAAGTATTCTTCATTATAAATAATCCGCCATACTTGCCAAAACCTTACAGCTCTGTTCAAGACAAGACTTTGTTTGAAGACTCTTATTACCAGTTTCACTCGACAATCTGATGTATGCTAATTTAGTCAACTTTAAATCGATGAAACCTTTTTTTCAAAATTTTTATTCAGGTTCCCTATGCGGAAGTCGCCGGCAAGACACTGGTCATGATGGTTTACGATTTTGATCGTTTTTCCAAACATGATCAAATTGGTCAGATCAAAGTCCCACTCGGATCGATCGACTTGTGCAATGTGCTGGAAGAGTGGCGTGACTTAAGTCCACCGGAATCGGAAGGAGATAAAGTGAGCGATACTCATGTTTTGGATTGTGTGAAAAGCTCCTGTAAGCTGACCGTGGTTAACTACACTGTGAAGACAAAAGCCTGGAATTTTCATAGTGTGTACGGAATTTTGTTTTTTTTTAGAATATGCATATCAATGAACTCCTTGCACCCCAGAAGACAAGCTATGCGAACCGGTGTTACGGGAATAGGTCAGCTGACATGTGGAAAGAATCATTCTGGTTCGAAACAAGGGGCATTCAACTAACTCCGTGCACTATGGGTACAAAACGTCGGTAAAACCACCGTGAAATGAAGGCACCTCAGATAGAACACCAGTATCGTTACCTAACCCATAACCCATAAAGTACCCGCAAAATCGCGAATAAAGCTCACTTGCACGAAAGCGAACAAACTAATACCCTCCAACAGTATGTGAATAACGCGTGTCATAACATCCTCAGTCCACATCAAGCCTATTATTGGTGATAACAAGGTAACAGCTGTTTGCCAAATTCAGCAGCGATTTTATCTACAGAAAACTCCTGATGGTTTGTTTTCGATCATAAGTCCAATAACATCCAGCTCTCCTGCATACTTGGCTGATACTCAAAAGCGCCTTATCAAACAACGTGATCTAAACTTGCTTCGTTCGAATCAGCTCAAAACCTCACTCATATAAACGGGTTTTACCGCACGAAAACTAATCTGACTTGGAAGGTTTGCTACATAATCGAAAAAGAAATTTCTCTGAGAGAAAAAAGGCACGTTTGTCAGTCAATAAACTATGAAGGCAACGTAACATGAAAGAAGGAAACCCGTTGACCTGGCATCTGTTTAGAAGTTCAAATGGTACCACAGTCTTGCTGTCTGGAAGCAAAGCACTACTCATAACGTTGATGAAAGCTATTCGACTTATCATGTTTGTCAACATTTTGAGTTCTAACAATACGCTTTGTATTACAACTGAACTCATATTCATCTATACTTGTTGGGGAAGTCAACCACGCGAAATGACAGTAAGTAACCGGTGTCTGATTGTTGAGAATTTCTCCACAAAGTCATTCGAGGTATCCAGGCGGAATAGGGTTGGTTTGTTGGCACTTTTCAGCGCCTCTCTCCTCTTAGGAGGGAACACAGACTATTTTCATAAAGGAAACTACTCACAAGGTTGCTGAAAACCGTTTGACAGCCCACGACCGGTTTCGCCCTTCTTGGGGCTCATCAGGTAGGCCCAGTCCCCGGGTTCCCCTCCACCTTATGACCTACTTGGACCCGAATTGGACTGTTTTCGAGAAATACACTCATTTGCAAATCAATTTGGAACACAGACTATTTTATCGTCACATTTTTTCTTGATTCTCGATAACTCCCGTTCAATGGAGATTTTGTCACGTCAGTGAAGCCAACGTTTGCTGAAAAGCAGAGGAGCGTTGCGCAGCTGTTTCATCCTTATTGAAAATCATCGGCAGTGCGTACGTCACGAAATTCAGAGAACTTGCAATAAGAATGAAACAGAGGTGCGACGCTACTAGGCTTTGTGGAGCCCATTGTCTTTAACGCCAGGACGAAATCTCAATTGGAAATTACCTCACACTAATATCAGTCAGATTCATGAATGCTACTTAAAGCCAGCGAGCCGCAAAGAACTAGAATCCCTGGGCCACCTAGTCAAATGAGATCCTTTCCTTCCTGTTGTGTAAAGTTCCGTATTCCATCTTGGTCGTACTGGTCACCGAATTTAATACTGTCAAATAACGCGTGTGTGCAAAGCGAACGTCGTACGGCTAACCACAGTGGTAACGAAAAGTGTTTTAAACTGGGTGTGGAATTGCTTGAACTACTTCACTTTATCGATTTTTTTCGTCTTACTTTCTCAGTTTAACATGCTATGCATGTGCGTCACGGAGACCGTTATGGCTCTGTCTCTTGACATGGAACCTTCAGAGGTCAACCACAACAAAAACATCTATTTGATGTGATCCAGCCGGCCTTGAATTAGCCCCAATCACGGTCAGCCACCGTTATGCTCTGTGAGGTGAACTATTGACTCACCCTTAAAGACTTCACACAGGTGGGGTTCAAGTCAAAATAGTTGCCTCCGTTTGTTGGGTCAGTCCAACTTATGTGTCTCGGTTTTCCAAGTGTCATAAAATAGTTAGATGCAAGCGACTCTTATCGCAACCAATCTGTCGTAGGAGGATAGCGATGCTTTGAAAACTGGGGCTTTGTCCCGGGTAGAGGAATGATCGTTCAACAGAATGGGAACTTGTGAATTCGTCATGAGAAGCGGAGTGATATTCTACCATATGTATCTCGGTTCCTACATTTCACCACTGGTCCCACCATTTGCATACCCTCCCCGGAAATAAGGTCGGTATTTCGACAGGGACAGAGGGTCCTGCTCATGATGTCATCACCGTCGACACACGCTCTATCCATTCTAAGTCAGCCACACTCATTCGGTAGGTGTTTGCTCATTCGTATTTTAAAACCTTTCAGTATGTGTAGCGTACACAAACCTTGTCAGACTTACTGCGCCCAACTGGATGTCCAAGTATGCTGCCATTACGCTTGGTTGGGTTAGCAAAACTACCAGTCTAAACAATGCAACAAGTTTAAAATTGAGGGCGTACAGAATTTGTAAGCCAACTGCCTCGGTCCATCGATTAATCAAACCAAGCGATTCGTTGATGATTAATTGGCCCGTCCACGCCCGCCCGTTTTCTGTACCAGTTGGACCAGATGGCTTGGTTCCGGCGAATTTTCTAGGTTCTGCTGCCGGCTGACACGCTGACGTTCAACGGTGCGCTTTTGAATTTGTTTAGGCGAGTCACGAGTTCCTGCCAACTCCCAATCATCCAAAACTGATTGGCATTAGTTCCACGGTAAAATTGACTAACGTGGTTGGTTAATCAACCAAGCCACGGTATAAAATGAATATTCCACAGCTGAATTCTCATCGGTTTCGCTCGTTTGATGAAACTATTAAAGGCAAAACAGGCATCCTTTAGCAAGCAAATCCTCTCTGCGGATTTCGAAGCTGATGCAAAGTCTATCCAATAAGGAAAACATTACGAGTATACAGAAGTCAGCGCTGTTTGTTCGGATTCTGGAACACAGTCAGGGAGCATGCAGACGTGGGAAAACTCGAAGCAGATTTACTGGAATCATTGAAAATTCTCCCATTCAAACGAAGCCCTCTGAAATAAGAGTTTTAACTACATAGGACACCTACATTACCCTTTCTGGACTGTTTAACACATGAGATTGGTGGGAAAGTAAAAACTACTACCTATCAGAAACCGACAGACACGGGAACCGTCCTTAGCTACTCATCAGCACACCCAAAGCCCGTGTACGCCATCGATGTTTCGTGCATCAGCACACCCAAAGCCCGTGTACGCCATTACTGTCTCATCGATGTTTCGTGCAATCAGAGCGCTGCGCACAGCAGAGATCGATTGAACAGCAGCTCAGATCGAGATTGCCAACAGACTTAAAGAAATAGGATACCCAGTGAGTTTGATTAAGCGTCAACTAATGAAGATATTGGCTCCAGCATCTAGACCCAGTAAGGAATAAATTGGCACAGCAGCCATTCCACATAAAGCAGGAACATCGGAGGTTATTCGAAGACTGTTTAAACAGCCAAAGTTTGAGTAGCTTTTCAGAAGGGAAAAACGCGACACTCAGTTTTGGTGCAATTGAAAGATTCCTTGCCGGTTGAAAGGACTGGGGACTGCGCGTATAAAATTAACTGCAACGATTTCACTAAGGTTTACATAAGACAAACTGCCAGGGAATTGAACACCTGAATTGGTATGCACAAAAGAAGGAATAACAAACCACCAAGGAATGCAGGAGAATATCAAACTCTGGTCAAAGACTCAGCGATGACGGTATATGCCTTCGACACGGGACATAGAATGGACCTGGGGAATGTGGAAGTTTTAACATGGGGACTGCGATTCACATCACAGCGGCTGATAGCCGAGGCGGTAGAAATTACTAAGTATCACACCATGAATAGATTTGAGGGTGTGGAACTGGAGAGTGTATGGAAAGCGGTCTTAGATAAGCCGAGTTGACACGTGACTGTGTGGTTGTCAATCCACGTTGAATCATTAGCGAAAACCGGGGGGTGGGGGTGGAAATCCCAACTCAACCAAAGGTCACAGCATCCCTCTTACACAATTATCTTAGCACTACCTCATCCACACAGACGGACAGAAAGTTCAAAGGACGTTCAAGAGGGACCATGAAATGGACCGAACCAGAAGAACTAGACCCTAGGCTGGACCCAAACACGTGTAGGTTGCTCCTTCGACCCAACACTTGTTCAACCACGCTAACACACAAAAGTCCCTCAGGCAACACCCAACAGAGAACTAGCTTGACTTAACTGATTGGTTCTCCTTCCTCCTTAAATCTCGACGAACCTCGGAACCTGGTCACTTGGTCTGACGAAACTTCTGTGTCGAAAGCGAAACGTTGCCCAGCAATAAATCTACCGATGACTACCGATGACTACTCAATCGGGTCCAAGTATTTTTCACCTGATTGAGGAAACCCACTTATTTGGTAAAGTGTGGATTCATACTACTTTGACTTGGTTACAAAAGTTGTGGGAGAGTTAATGCATCAGCTCCATAAATGGACGTCTACAAGCTTTTATTGTCATCGGAACTAATGAACTTACTCACACCAATGAGAGTTGACCAGTTGAGACTTTTCAATCAGTCCGATCGAACGATCATGATTACTCACACCAGAACCGAAAGCTTTTACGATTCGTGATGTCCTCGAATATACTGCTCCGTCACTTTTCGACAGTCGGTCAGCACTACCGTCACATGAGTGGGGCTTGAGGGCACCGGTTCGGGTAATACACACTGACCGTCCGTCATTCGTATCCCACGTGTTGAAGGTTCTACTACTTTGATGGACTCAGATGTATGCATTGCGACGAACTGGTAATAATCGATGAAATGGAGCTGCACATAGTCCAGATGGTTATTAGATTGTTAGCTTAGCTGGGGTGGGGTGGGGGCGAAGGCACATTGGGAATGCACAGTGGGTTGATTTTGACGGTTATGCGTGTGCCACTATGGTGTTTTCCCATCCATAGTGGCCTTGAATTATGATGGATAGGATCTCTTGCTGTTGCCTTGTATTCGGAGTGAACGGAGTTCACAACATCATATTTGCCGAAAAGTTTGATTCTCACATGTCTCTCAAATGAAAGAAGAACATATCAGATGAGAGATTCTTCTGGGTTCTGGATGAGTTTCCCATTAAAGCCAAATTGGTATTCACCGATCGAATACTTGAATTAGCCATCTCCAATATCTGCTACACCGCTGCTTATTTACGATGAGCAGTGAAGCACGGCCAATGTGAGTTTATCGTCAAAGTGACCGATCCGGAAGTCTTATGTTCGAGGTCACTTGGCAATGTAAAATTTTTAGAGAAGCCAACTCACCTAATCTCAACAAAGACTACAATACATGTTCCCGGAGGCCATTGCCCTGCAACAGGGACCAAGACGTGAAACTTGCGCAAGGGCTAGTCTAACTAGTGGATTACCACTCTAGGCGAATCCCAAACGACTACAAATGCTCCAGGGACAAACCAGACTATGTCACCCTTATGGTACCGGTCCCTCCGGCGCATAAGAGACATGAACAAATCGATTAACCCAACGTCATCAGATGCAGCATCTCACCAGAATGGAGCACACCGGAAATCCTTTTGAGCTCTTGGGTTTCGAAAAAGTCGTTTTCAGGGATTTCAAAGTCGAGAACTATATCTGACAACTGACCCCATCTGAAACAGCCAAGCTCAGTTTTTGACAGAGTGCGCCTGTTTACAACTTAACTTGCTGTTACAGAAACACCCATCTGGATCTCCCGTATAAGGGCTACCTCGTTCACCAACTACTCTCATTTGCACGCTAATCTGGTTTCACCAGGAGACTCTACTGAATCCAGCTAAATGTTTTTGTCTCTGGTTGTAGTCCGCAACCTTATGAGTATGATATTCGACACAGCAAAACTACTTATTTTGCTTACTTAAGTTGAAGTTAAGTGTTCCTCGCTTCCCGTGTACAGTTTGACTTTCAAGTGGAGGGTTGTATCTGCTGTAAGAGCTTCCAGAAGAGCGAAACCGTTCGTGATCTGTCAGAGGGTCTTCAGCAACCTTGCAAATGGTGTGTTGTGTCAGGCTCCAACAATTTTTGCCTGACCTTTCCTCATCAGCAGTGGACATTTGAACTGCTTCCAGAAATTATCTTTTCAAAAAAGAGACCATGTTTAGCGAATATACACTCATTTGCAAACGAATTTGGTTTTGCGAGAGACTCACCTGGAACCCAGCTGAATCTCTCTTTTGTGATGTTCTCAGGCAACTGAATGTGCTGCACCAGGCCGCCTCATGTTTCAGTCGCTACGATATTCGAGATATCGCGATACATGTATATCTTTGTAATGTACTACTCATAAGGTTGCTGGAAATCCGTCGACAGCCCACGACCGGTTCCAGGTGAGTCCAGCGAAAAAACCAAACTAGTTTGCAAATGAGTGTATATTGGCTAACTTCGTGCAATTTGGTTTCAAATAGAACATAAGGTAGACGGAAATCCGGGGACTGCGCCTACCTGATGAGCCCCCAAAAGGGCGAAACCGGTCGTGGGCTGTCGATGGATTTTCAGCAACCTTATGATTAGTACATTACACAGAGACCAAGTTTGTTCGTCTCTCCTAGATGAGATCGCTGAGGTCGATATCTGGCTAGGTTAATTGGGATAATTTCACTTGGTGCATGGTAACCAAGCTCTACTATTCGGCCACTAGGCAAAATCCGCTATGCCTCCTATGGTTGTTTACTGTTTATGCATGCTACACCCCCTTTTCAAGGAATCTCTCACACCGAGATGAAATTTCCATCAATGTTTGATAAAACGTTGGTTGCAGAATATCGATATTGTAGACGACCGAATATAGCGTTGTTTCAATCTCACATCCAACAGTGATTCATCGTCCACTAGAGTTCACTGTTTTTACCAAACCTTTCGTTTTAAACTATGTCCAACTAATTTTACCCCTTGTAGCCCATGGAATTTTGACTTGTAAGTTTCGAGAGTGACTGTGCTTGTCTCAGAGATTTTCGGTCGCTTTTTCTTTTTCTTATTGGCTTCAAAATGCAAAATGTGGCCCAAATTCGAGCAGCATACGCTTGGGTACAGATTCACGAGTAGGCGTCCTGAAATCCCTCCTATCCTAAATTCTTCCCACGATACGCTGACACAAAAAACGTTGTTATGTTACGGACGTTTCGGTTACACTGTTCCGAAGAACGTGCGCAATAATCCTATTGTGTTGTACTTCCGGTATGTCTCACAACTTCTCCAACCCGTGTGAAACTCTAAAAGCATTCAAGCGGACAGATAGCCGCAACTGTTGCGGAGAAAATTACTGAGGATGTCTACAGATTAGACACAAATTCGTTTTTTCTACTGTTTGTGATGCCAGAGCGAGATATTATGAGTAGCAAGTGCTTATTTCCTTGAATCCCCCGGGAAAGAACTGGCCGAAGAATCCACATTTCGGCGAAGATGTTTTGAACTATTAGCCGCTTCGTGAAACTATCGGGTTTAAAATGGCGAATGAAAAAGGCCTTCAAATGAGGAGTTGTTAATTGGCAAACAAACTAAGCAATTAGAAGGTATCCGACGCGAAAGAAAAAGCTTGGTTTGTACACAGCTTTAAAAAAATCAACGACCTCAACCGTTTTCCTGAAGTCGCTCGAAAATTTAACATTGAGGTACAAACTCTGTGACATGGTTCAGTAATTTCCAAACCATCCTTCCATCAGATGAAGAGGCAGGGCTTAAAACTAGTCGACTGAATACTATTTGCACATTTTATCAGTAGTATATGCAATCATACGGGTGTCCTTTGTGTTTGTTTCACAGGAGAACCGTCTAGGCGACATCTGTTTCTCCCTGCGCTATGTACCAACGTCAGGTCGCCTGAATGTGAACATCCTGGAGGCAAAGAACTTGAAAAAGATGGATGTTGGTGGTCTTTCTGGTGAGTAAAATTGGACGGTAGTCTCAGTTTTTATTTGCATGTGAATTAGTGGAGACTTATTGATAATTCACCTTTTCAGTTATTAGAGTACCTGACAGGGGTCCACATAATTAGTTCGTGGTTATGGTGTCGACGATGGCGTGCGCGCAGTGGTGATGTCTCGTCGATTGGTGACGAAATGTTTACAAGCTAATTGCCAAGCTCATCGAACTGACTGACGCCCATATGATCAACAACCAAGAAACCCCCCTGAGCTGTCAGTAGTTAGACATATTACGAACAGTCTTGTCCCGTGTCCACGGAGGAACTCTTTAAAAAAACACCAAATGATAGGGACTGTCTAATTTCTACTTCCTGCTATTTTCCGCTCAAACGGGACCCACTTTTCCCTCCACAGATCCATATGTAAAAATCTCTCTGATGATCGGTGCAAAACGGGTGAAGAAGAAGAAAACCACGATAAAGAAGTACACGTTGAATCCGTACTACAATGAATCCTTTGCATTCGACGTGCCCTTTGACCTCATCCAGGTTAGTTGAGTTTGTCCCAGTTTGTAGCCGAATAAACCTGACACCTTCAACAGATTTCTCCTAGTGCGTTTTGTATTTTTATACAAAAATTATGCGGTTCAGACATTTATGATAATTGGGTGCAATCGATTGCTTAGAAGTGTACTGTAATCAATCAGAAGAAACGCCCTGTCGATGGAAAATCTTGACCCAAAGGAAATATTTCGGCCGGCCGTCGCAAACGCGTGATTGATGGTAGTAAACAGATGTGTGGCCAATAAACTCAAGTATCTTTGAGAGAAAATCACATGACTGTTGGTGATTCACCACAACCGCCTAGACTATTGATCTATCGGATGACGAGTGGTCACGTGCAGGCATTCATGCATACGAGACTAACATAGTCTGGAAAATTAATTCGGCATGCACGAGTATGGGGTGGTGTGGCAGAATCTGAATATACTAGAGACAGCAAGTTGTGTAATCAATCAGAAGAAACGCCCTGTCGATGGAAAAGTCTTGACCCAAGGAAATATTTCGGCCGGCCGTCGCAAACGCGTGATTGATGGTAGTAAACAGATGTGTGGCCAATAAACTCAAGTATCTTTGAGAGAAAATCACATGACTGTTGGTGATTCACCACAACCGCCTAGACTATTGATCTATCGGATGACGAGTGGTCACGTGCAGGCATTCATGCATACGAGACTAACATAGTCTGGAAAATTAATTCGGCATGCACGAGTATGGGGTGGTGTGGCAGAATCTGAATATACTAGAGACAGCAAGTTGAAGCTGTCGAACTAAAAATCAGCTAATGAGATCCTGAGCAAAGCTGTAAGTAAAACCAGCATGTTAGTTGAAAGTAATATATAAAATCAACCGTTCTAAAGAGTTACTAGTGCCCTGCAGCCGCTTCGTTCTTTTATCACCTTTTACCTTACCTGGCCAATCAGTTAGCTGGCTTAATATGGACTACTGCTATTGGCAATTACTTTTCATACCCAATCGATTTTGTAGTTGTTTTTGTATGCTTATTCAGGAGTGCTGCTTCTAGACTCCCAGTCAGAGCGAGTCACTACACTGGTGCCAATGTGTGGCGCAACAGTGGATGTTCAATACGCCTGGCTGGTAATGACCACTCATCGTTCAGTGTATCAGTGATTCAAATGGATCAATCCTGGTCACGTGACGGTACCATTGACATGACCACATCAACTGAACGATACAAAATCCAGAAACAGCATGTGGGTTTCTGAAACGGACAACCCACGAAGTAGCGTTAAGTTCTCCGATTACTTCGAACGTGTTGTTATTTTCGAGGTAGCAGGCTAAGTTTGTAGCAAGCGTAGAATATCTGACTAAGTAAAATGACCCATGCTGTTATTTTCAAATACGAGGGGGAGTTAGAAACTAAAAAACGGGTGCAAAATAATTAATAAACTATCGCTTTTAATAATTAGTTACTTCCAGCCGAAAGATGTAAAATAACTTGTCCTTCAGCTTTCGTCATTTGCCAGATATTCTGTTGGTATTCATTCCAGCCGATACATAAGGAAATCGTGTAAGTGACTCAGAGATAAACGCGGTTCATTCAAGGTGCAGTTGCTACCATACTGAACGGACGATTGTGTGGGAACAGAGGAAATGAACAAGTCATTCATTTAGGCGAAGCCAGGGATCATGCGAGGGAATAGAGGAAATTCATTAAGAAGAATTAGCTTGTTACCTGGCCCTTGCCCAACAAAAGGTGTGAAAACATGAAATTTCGGTGAGGAGAGAGTCGAGCCACCAATCACTCTTATCAGAGCAGTGCATATTCTTGGCAGTACCGGGATATGAACTACGGGAATCTAACATGCGAGGAGTACAGCAAATCCAAAGTTGTCCAGCAGGTTTCAAGCGTCTGTGGCGCTACCTGATTGAGAAATCTTGACAGGTGGGTCAGTCGATCGACAATACAGATCGACCTTCAAGGGGTAGGACAAACTAATCACATTGCTCAAACGTGAACACTATCGCCTGATCAGATTCAACTGCGTCCAGCGTGCATCGGTAACACGCTCTTCTGATTTGTGGGTTGTAAACTTCGGCATGACCAAGAACATGCAGTGCTAATGAGTTTTGCTGGTCTTCGGTTTTTCTCCCTTTGATGTGGACTCGCCAGATTGCGCCAGGTCGGAAAGAGAACCCTTCAAACTGAGAACCCCGCATCTACCTACAACTTCTATCCATTTTACAAAAGGACTGTGTCAGAACTTTCATTCAACTGAGTGGGCGAATTTTCACTGGCATTGCACTTGCTTATATTGCCTTGGACCCAGGGCGAGTCCGGAAATGGGTAGTTACACATAGTGCCTTCGAAAAAAGTTAGTTCCTCATTGTTGATTAACATCAGTGTCGTACACACCAAATCATCTGCATGATGGCTTGAAACTGACGTGGACCAATACGGACCAATCAGGTTCCCGAAAGAATGACCGTTTCCTAATGGAAATGTTCGTAACTAGTCTGGAAAACCATAGAAACTATAGAAAACAGGAAAACTAGAAAACCACGGGTGACCACATTTAAGAAGTCGAAATACGGTACTCATCCTGGTGATGAGAGGTCACCTCTGGTGAAGGCTGGATTTTCAGTAGATCCGTGTGGTCTCCATCTCTGGGGATCACAGTACTTTGAAAAATGCTAATGGCTTTACCCACCCAACTATTCCGTATACATCAGCTCCTTTATCACTGTTTCAATAAGTCCAAGAGATCGCCTCCAACATTTGTTCAGACTTTCTTGGTTCTGTGATGTGAAATGTGGCTCATGACACCGTGGCTTGGAGGCAACTTAGTTGGAACAGTGAACTTGCCTTCGGAGTCGCAATTCCATGAACCTATTTGTTTCCGTAAGCAGCTCTATCTGAGCAGTGTTGAACGAAGTTGAAGCTCAGAAATGACGGAAGAAAGTTTCTTCGATTTCTGTTCTTCCCAAACGTAGTAAGGTGCATGGTACACCAGATTTAGTTCTGGAATACCATTTGGTTTATTGCTCTCAAACAGGAAAAAATCAGTGACGACCGACGAGTAGTGGAGGTCTGCAAACTGTCTGAGCCGCTTTGGATTTGTTTCAGACAAACGTCGGTAGAGTGCTGCTCATTGTAGTGTCAAACCGAAAGACAAGCGAGAGAGGCAAGTGGGAACCAATTCTGTCAGTCTACTGAAGGGGATTACAACAGGTTCCACAATCGTTTCTACATCAGACCAGCGGGTGGAAGATCAAATTGTCTGCTACCGCTTTTGAAAAAGCACGAAATGGGGTTCATTCTGAATGGTATATGAGTACGGAAGTCCTGCTTGCAAAATATTCGATTCCCGCGGCTGGTTTTCAATAAGGTTATCACGAGTACAAGGTTTCACGCTGTTATCCAACGAAACACAGACTTCTGGTCTTATGTAGGAAAGCGCTGCATAAAAATAGGTTTCAAAGCACTCGCTCAGTGTGAAACGTAAAGGTAATTACAAACTGCTGTCCGGATAAATGAGAGGTTTAGATACTTGGTGACCAGATCGAGACTTGTGCTACAAACACACTAGCGTAACTCTCTGCCTACTCATACCTGGGCTTTGTGTTTGACCTTCGTAGTTCCCTCGATCTCTCAGGATTGATGAACAGAAATGGTCAAGTAATTATTCATTTATGATCATCGCTAAATCAAATCCAACTTACAAGCAGATTGTGACCGGTCGTTTCATTATCAATGTAATAAGCAAACATTCTTCCGTTTGAACTCACTATCGCCTCATAAAGTCATTTTCTGCTTCCTTTTCAGAAAGTACACCTCATTATCACCGTGGTCGATTATGATCGTATAGGAACCTCTGAACCAATAGGACGAGTGGTACTTGGGTGCAATGCCACCGGTGCAGCACTGCGCCACTGGTCGGATATGTTGAGCAACCCGCGGCGCCCGATTGCCCAGTGGCACACGTTGCAAGAAATGCCAGAGAAAAGTTGATCCACCAACATGCTGTCGGTACAGGTTTCACGCATTCACGTGTTATTATGAAACTGCTATCACTGCTCTCCACTCCTAATTAACCTTCTCCTAATGTGATCGGAATTTCGCTTTTGTCCAAACTATTATCATGCCCTGCTTTATCATGACAGATTTTGATTTAAAACTCCTTCGTCTCGCCCGGTCACCCCTTTTTTGTGTATGTGTGTGTATGCATTACCAAACTGCACAAACATTAACTATTCAAACTTTTGTTCGTCCGCTCCTCCTCCCTCAACATGAGTGGATTTGTGAAGCTTTCGATGTTATTATGCTCTCACTTCATATCCACTGCTCTGCATCCTTTGCATACCAGATGAATTCTTGTTGAACAACAATCGTGACTCGCTGGGCACCAACCGGTGCATGGGCTACGATACTATGGCAACCGAAGGATAGATAGATATATTCATGTATTCTGGTGCCGTCAGAGATGTCCGTATGGGGATCAACAAGTCACGCATCACTTTTGTCTGTGGTATTGATCAGAACCAGCAGATATGAAGCGTCTGCGACAAAGCGTATCACATCGAAAGACAAGTTACAAGGTGACAACTTGTGTTTAGATAGTAGGCATGAGTTTCGAAATACTTCTAGATTTTACTGCTCCCAGCATAGCAGACCAATGTCGAGACTGGAAAAATCGAAAACACCCCTCCAGAGTCTGCCGCCCTTAGTTGTTCAGAGATGATCCGAAGTCTGAAAGGTGCTCTACTCTATCAATGATCTCCTGCAACTTCCTTGAAGTTGTTCCTTCCCGGACAGAATGTGTACCTTTTGTAAGGCATACACTGAGTATGGTGAATCCAAGTCACTTTGGGCCGTCACCTGGCGTTGCAGAAGCAACGTTACGAGGACTGATTACCACACTGGGTTTGAAGTTAAAAAGACCGAGTATTTAGGTTAATTAGTTTTTGCTTTCAAGAGTCTGTTAAATTCGTGCTGAAAAATTTGTTTCCTTTGATGCCCTTTACCTAAGCTTCAAACCTGATAGTGATCCGGTGTGTCACTCAGGCACCACAAAGCTCCACAAGTGTAGGTCTCAGCTGAATTTGAGTAGTTGAATAGGCGACCATTTGCCACGGTCGCTTTCGAGGCTGGCTGCTTTCTTGCAACGAAAGCGTTCAAGAAAACGCATTGGTTAGAAAGCGAGCTGTTCAGGTCACTCACAATGTGGAGGCCAAGTGAATGATATTCTGTGTAGGGGGAATCAGACTGTTGTTGAGTTTTAAGAAGTTGGACTTGGTAAATTTTAATGTGACTGCATCATACCGTGTTTTTAAGCTCTAAGTGGAAATGAGTGATAGCCTACGGTTGCCAGAGTGGTGGACACTTTTCAGTGGCTGCAGTAGAAGCTTATAAAAATTTTTTTTTTTGTGGGTGGTTCCATGATCTGTAGTGTTCACATTCCCATTGCTATCGTTTGAACACTCGTCCTTCTGTCCTTGCATAATTATTCCGAGTGAATCCACACCAAAGAAGGGAAGCACTCGACTGGAACTTCACTCTTATCAAAGCTCATCAGCAGTGCTCATCCTTGGCCATGCCGAGGCTTGAACTCCGCATTTCGGACATGCCAGGTGGGAGGGTTACCAATAGTCCACCAGCGCACGCTGGAAGCATCTGAATTTTGTGTCTGAACATGTTTGCGCTTGACTGAGGCGAGCGGTAAGCCTGATGTCTCGAAAGGCGACCCAGTAACATACCTTGGTTTTGTCGATCTACTGGTCTGCCTATCAAGAGCTCCCAGTCAGGCAGCGCCACAACGCTTGAAACCTGCTGGACAGCTTCTGATTGTGTTGTGGGTCACAAGCATATGCACTAATAAGAGTGAAACTCGAGTCTAGTGCCTTCCTGCTTTGGTATGGACTCATCAGAATAATTACGTCAGGACAAGTTAATGACTGTTCAAAACTTATATGATAAACTTTGGCTGTATATGTACGCTCAAACCAACTTCCACAAGATCTCTACCCCTGTGTTAGGATCTGAAAACACTGGCAACTCAAATTTCCTCAGTGTTCTCAAAAAATGTAATTTATGATTATACCATGTCCCGCCACCATGAAATGCATGCCAGCGGTTACTCCCGAAGTCTAAATGATGGCGTGAAATGGTACAGTCCTCCTTTGTGTTATTCGGGGTGCACTTTCATTATATGAATGATATTTGTGAAGAAAACTGATTATATTTCCTAAGAAAAACTACTCTGGAGACTCTTCGACACCCCACGAATGGTTTCACCCTTCTTTGGGCGCATCAAGTAAGCGCAGTTCCCGAGCTTCAGTCAATTTTATGTTCTACTATAACTCAAATTAGACTGACTTCGACAAAACTCGTTTGCAAATCAATTTGGTTTTCTAACAAATTCAAACGCACCGTTAACCTTGTGAAAACCATGATTTCTTTGCCCGGGCGTCATATTGCATCAGAGAAGAGGCAAATTTACTGGTACGGTACAACTCTCAAAAGACTAGAAGGTTCTTACTTATTGTGGAAATGTTGTCTCGTGTACAGCTCCAGCCTCGTTAACCGAGACCGCAGAACAGCATTTCGTGTAATTATCCAATCAGAATCGTGAGCATAGGTCACCAGGTGAACTGACTAACCTACATGGAATCAAAGGGGTCCCTGTGGGTAGTTCTGTGGACCAGCGGCTCCTTATCCACCGCAACTGATGGGACGTTCTCTTCACGTTACAGTCAGCTGGGCAAGATAACTGTTGATTCTTCGGATAGCTGAACTTCGGTCCATCGTAATGCTGCTTGGATTGAAAAGAAAACTAGGAACTGTGCCGCGCATAAAAGCAAACGTGATGGAAATAAGCACGGAAGCATTGCCTTGTAAAAGGAAGTAAATGGGCTGACCTGTCAAAATTGCATCCTTGGCGCCGACCATACACAGGAGTGGAATGATAAAGTCGATCCAGATTTGTCGTGTTATTTTATTCTGATTACCTGACCCAAGGTAGGTAGCATTCTCCAGAACGGTTGGAGAACTGCAACCGCAAGTCACATCGGAAACTGAAAAGACGAGATAGGTAGGTTAACTGACCTTCTACACCTGTATCACGTTTAGTCAAAAATGAGGACTGCACTTCATGGCACGTTATGAACAGGGAATTTTCATCTGAGGATTCTTCACTCAAGGGACGTTTCCACACGTGATCCACGTGGTTGAAGGATGAGTGGAGCAATGTCCAGTCTACTTGTGAGTTAATCACACCACTGAGCAGTGACTCGTAGCCGATCGGCTGGAGGTCACGCCGGAGTTACATGGGACGCGCACTACTAATGATTCTCAATAAGTGTTTCTCAACCAATCAGCTGAGATTGACTTTAGCAAAATACATTCATTTGCAAACGAATTTGGTTTTGCGAGAGACTCACCTGAAACCAAGCTGAATCTCTCGGTTTTGATGTTTCCAGGCAAATGAACGTGCTGCACCAGATCGCCTCATGTTTCAGTCGCTACGATATTCGAGATATCGCGATACACATATATTTTTGTAATGCACTACTCATAAGTCTGTCGAGGAGTTTTCAACAAACTTATGAGTAGTGCATTACAAATATAGATTGGCTTTACTTACAGGACGAGGATTTCGTTGAAGACTTTATAACCTGTTCGTAAATCATTCGAGTCAAATCTACATACGAGCTAGAATTCTCCTTATTCAAAAGCTGCTCGTGATGTGTGTCCCATTTAGTTTCTTCGGGATCAGAAAAATCAATGAATTATTCACCATTGCGAACATTTCTTCATTTCAGTTAGGACATTTTATTTCATTTAAACGGAACGCTTACTTTTGGAAACTATTCGGACGATTTTATACAGGTCGCTCAGCTAAGTCCTTTTTCTCCACTTTCTTCCGATGATTAAAGAAACCAATCCAAACAACTCATCGGTCTAATAATTGGTTAAAGGAGACTGAAGTCTGTATTACATCAGTAATGATCACGGTTGGGTCACTCAGTAGCCAAACTAGAGCGGAAGGCCCGTGGTTCGAACCCGGCCTCTGCATCTCGCCTTCCCCTGTCTCGGGTTGGGCAACCTGTTAGTACCACCGCACTCAAGCTTTCTTCAGATGGGAGCCTGGGGTCGAGAGGTTGTTACAGCTGCACGAAATAACTTTATTTGCAAACTGTCAACTGGAGATTTAATTGGATCTTAGTCAAGCCTCCTGTTTATGTCATTCTTCAAATGCCTATGTTTCCATCGGTTCGATGGTAGCTGACTGTCAAGGGGTTTTCAACAGTCTAATGGATACTATTCCGCCAAGAAAATACATGCATTGGACCCGAGTTTTACTTGTATTAGAGCTCATCAGCCGTGCACATCTTTGACCGTGTCGGGATTTCAACTCAGGATATCTGACATGCGATGCACGCTGGACCCACCTGAGTTATTGGATCTAATTAGGCAAGCGTGTTCACCCCCAAGTGCTATGATTGTTTTGCCCGACTCATCAGCTGACGCCATAACAACTATCCTGGTTGAATTGATCGATTGGCCAGTCTCTTCCCTGTCAGACAAGGTTACGAACGCTTGAAGTCTGTTGAACAGTTTTTATGCTAAACACATTCTGGCTTGTTCTTCCACGGATGCTGTTTTATCATTTCACAAGACAATTCCTCAAAGTAAAAGGACCCACTTTCGAAAGCACCACGATGCAATCGTTTTGAGTGATTTTGAGTATATTCCATTCGCTTCACTAACCCAAAAAAAAACTAACGGAAAAGGTGAAAACGGTCGCCAAAAATTCCGGATTACCAGTCATTCATTTACTGGTGCACAGATGAACTGAAATAATCCGAGGCCACGTCAGTCAATCACACATTGTTTACTGCCTATTTGGGTATTCCAAAGCAAACTGTGACAGGATATGTTTGAACAAACAAAACGGAATTGGCGCATTTGCAACGTGGTCGGTAGGGAACGAAATGGAAAAATGGTGGAGAGAAACAGGTTTATCGACCAAGGTGGGTGGTTTGTTTGGGAACGCAGCCTGCCACTAGGAGCGCAATAATGGTCCACAAATAGCAGCAGCAATGACGCGATCAGAGCGTTTCCGTTTTTCTTCTTAAATATGACGTTGAGCTATTCGCCAGTGGCCAGGACATATCGACCACAGTAATGACAACTAGAATGGATGTTATGGCACATTAAAGTTTTTGTACTCATCACGAGACACTGGCCTGACTTAAACGATGTGATCGAAGATGGATTCAGAATCTGATGACTGATCTATTTTCCTGATAAACATAAGTAACTAATTCAAAGTAGTTGAGCTAAGCTTGAGATAGCT